CCTCAGCGCACCCCCCGCGTGCCCAGTGCCCCGCAGAGCCCCCACCCCGCAGCGTGCCCCGCAGAGACCCGCCCACAGCACAGCCCCCCGCACCAGCACCCCACGGACAGCCCCGGGCCGCACTCACCCCGCCGGGCTCTGCTCCCCGCTGGGGCCGCGCCCGCAGACCGGGTCCGCCTCTGGCCCCCGCCCGCCATCCGTGGGCCTGTCCGCTCCGCGCCAAGCGGGCTGGAACCCGCCGCCAAGCCCCGTTCGAATCACCCGCCGCTACAATGGAAGTGACGCTGCCGCTACTTCTCGCGAGGCTTCGAACCGGAACTTTCCCTGAGAGCGCCGGGTTGCGGGGACTTGCTCAGGTCGAACGTCATCAAACTGCATCCTACCCGGAAGAGACGTGGCAACAGCGGACTCAGCCTCAATAGGAGCCTGTGAGTGTCAGGGGGACCCTATGGAGGGGCAAAGCGGGGCTGGGCGCCAGGACTCCTGGGTGCCCTCCCTGGCACTGGGGAGGGGAGTGGGGACTAGTGGTTAGAGCCCTGGGGGCTGGGAGCCAGGACTTCTGGGTTCTATCCCTGGCACTGGGGAGGGGAGTGGTGTCTAGTGGTTGGGGGGGACAGGACAGGACTGGGAGCCAGGACTCCTGGGTTCCTCCCTGGAGCCAAGAGGGGAGTGGGGTCTAGTGGGTTAGAGCAGAGGGGGATTGGGAGCCAGGACTCCTGGGTTCTGTTCCAGCATTGGGAGGGGAGTGGGGTTGATCTGGGCTTTGATTTTGCTCAGTATGCTTTCTCTCCTGCTGTGTTATCAGTGAAGCACCATGGGGCTGTGTAAATGCCCCAAAAGGAAAGTCACCAACCTTTTCTGTTTTGAGCACCGGGTGAATGTCTGTGAGAGCTGCCTCGTCGCAAACCATTCCAAGGTAACTGGACTCCAGCCCCAGTCTGGCTGCTGAGCAATGGCATCTCAGGGGAATGGGAGTCTCTAGGGCATCAGTTCTAATCTGGCCCCAGTGAGGGGGGACTGGCTGGCTCAGGAAGGTGAGGAATGGGATATGGGGCTTTCCCCTCTTGGATACTGGTTCATATTTGATCCAGGGTTGTAAGCAATTGAAAGTCCTCTTTGCTCAACAACCTCCTCCCCTGTCCCAACCTCAGTTCTTGGTTATCAGTCTTCCCCTATCCTGCATCGTGACGGTGCATCCTGTTAATATCCAGCAATGGACACCTTCCTCATATTTCCTCTGATCCTTACACAATTCTGTCCAGGGGCCTGCTAGCATGGACCTCATTGGACATTTCTATCTACAAATGCTAGGGATGTGATGAATTCTCTGTCCGTTGCAGTTTTTAAGTCATAAGTGGACATCTTTCTACAAGAGATACTCCAGCTCAGACACAGGTTATGGGCTTGATCCAGGAATCACTGGAGATTCTGTGATTTGTACTAGGCAGGAGTTCAGACTTGACTAATGTAATGGTCCCCTTAGGCCTTAAAATGTAAAGTCTTTTCTTGTGCTGCCCCTCCAGTTGCAACCCTACCTCACCCATGCCATGGGCTTTCTCTCACTAACTTCCTGTATCTTCCAGTGCATTGTTCAGTCCTATCTCCAGTGGCTTCAGGACAGTGATTACAACCCCAACTGTCGTCTTTGCAACACCCTCCTGTCCACCAAAGATACTGCCCGGCTTGTGTGTTATGGTGAGGTACTTTTAGCCATGGCTTTGGGGGCATTTCAAGAGCTTTGCTTGGTTTTCTTTTCATTAGCAAGTGACAGACCTGGCCGCCAAAGCCTGATTTTAAAAAAAAAAAAAAAAAGGCAAATTAAAACTTGGGTCAGAAAAGTGATTGCCAAAATGGCACCCTGTTTATTCTGTCTTTGTAGCTTCTTCATCAGACCGACTATCTCTCTAGACAGAGATTCCCCCACCCCTTTGCCCCACATAAGAACCAGCTGGCCTCTGAAAGTGGGAATAAAGCCCCTACAATTATGAGAACTGAGTGGATGAATACAATGTCTGTGGCAGAATGGTCTCCTGCTTACTTTCCAGCAGCCTTGCTGCCCTGGGGACTAATGGAAGGGGAGATGTTTGTGAAGTAGATCTGACTAGGGGAGTAAACTGATCTAGACCCTTCACTTAAAGACATTCCATGCTCTTCACCTTTGCAGATCTGTTTCACTGGTCATGTCTCAATGAGATGGCAAACCAGCTCCCAAAGAACACGGCCCCAGCTGGCTACCAGTGTCCCAGCTGCAAGGGTCCGATCTTCCCCCCAGCCAACCTGGTCAGTCCGGTGGCCTCAGTGTTACGAGAGAAACTGTCGACTGTGAACTGGGCTCGGGCCGGGCTTGGGCTGCCACTGGTAAGAGACTACACATGAGACTCTCCTCTTGTTGTGGGGCTCCTCTCTGGGGGTTTTCAAGATGGGAGCCAGGACAGCCAAGCTGGACGGATACTGCTGTTAATGCACCAGCCGGGGATGGGGAACAGAGTATGGGGCCTTTCCCCTCTTGGGGGATGGGGCAGAGGGAACACCAGCTTTGATCTAGCTTCCGGCTTGAGCAGCAACCACTATCTGGGGTTGGCTGAGTTGATGGGGCAGAGTTTGCTTTGGTGTCTAAGGTCTGACGCAGTTCTTTTCTGTTCTCCTCAGATTGATGAGGCTGATACCATACAAGAGACAGAGTCGCCTGATACCACAGATTACACTGACTGGTCTAGCTTCTCTGGTGAGTGCTGCCGGGTTATGGGTATAGGAATGGCTCCACTGATGCCTGCACAGGGCCTATCTAGCCCCGTATCCACCTCCCCCACTGTCACCACACTGGGGATCAGATCTAGAGCCCCACCCAGTGATGAGCTGCCAAAATCTTAACAACCAGTTCTCTACCGGGTCTTCGGCGGCGGGTCCTTCACTCGCTCCGGGTCTTCGGCAGCATGTCCTTCAGTGCCACCAAAGACCCGGAGCGAGTGAAAGACCCGCTGCCAAAGTGCCGCCAAAGACTCGGAGCGCCGCCTGGTGAGTACAAGCCCCACGTGTTTTTTTTTTTTTTAGTCATCGCTGCCGGGGCCCCGTCAAAACTGTTCGAATCGGGACCCACACTTCCTAAAGCCGGCCCTGGACATCGGGGTTGCAAAATTGTATCGGGGGCCGGGTAGGGAAGGCTGTGCCTCCCAAAACAGCCTGTCTCCCCCCCATCCGACCCCCACCCATGTCCTGCCCCCGACTGCCCCCCTCAGAACCCGCAACCCATCAACCCCCCCTGCTCCTTGTCCCCTGACTACCCCCTCCCGAGACCCCCTACCCTAACTGCCCCCCCCAGACTCCACCCCCTACCCAGCTCGCCCCGCTCCCTGTCCCCAATTGCCCCGACCCCCCATCCACCACCACCCCGACAGATCCCCGGAACTCCCACGCCTACCCAACCCCACCCCCCCGTCCCCTGACTGCCCCCCCAGAACCTCCACCCTCTCCAACCGCTCCCTGCCCCTTATCCAACCCCTCCTCCCAGCCCCAGCCCGGCCCCCTTACCATGCTGCTCTGGGCAGCGTGTATGGATGCTGCGCGGCCCGCTGGAGCTCGCAGCCCCACCCCTTACCATGCCGCTCAAAGCGGCAGGAGCTGCAGAGCTGCCCAGGAGTGGTCGAGGGCACTGGCGGCGCGGCACACTGAGGCTCTGCGAGAAGGGGGAGGGGTTGGGGGAGCCTCCCCATCCGGGAGCTCAGGCGGGCCGGACAGGACAGTCCCGCGGGCTGGATGTGGCCCATGGGCCGGTGTAACAACAGAAAAACCTCCCTCTCCCAATTGCCCACCCCTTAAACAACTGGTTCTAAACCGGCTTCTAAATTTAACAACCGGTTCGCGCAAACCAGCTCCAGCTCACCACTGGGCCCACCTAGTCTGCTATCCCCTCCTTCCACATTGGCTGAGAACAATGGGCATGTCTAGCCCAGAGTCCCCACCTTCCTGCTGCCTGGGATGAGACCAAGGGGTCCAATTTCATCTGCTGTCTCTTCTAAAGTGATGGGAGGGGAAGACTGGCAGGCTTTCAGGGATCAAGGAATGGGATATGAGACCTTTCAGTTCAAGGGCATCAGTTCTAGTTAGGTCCCTGACACAGAGATCCATGGAGCAAGTGGGTCACAGTTTGCTGTCCTGGCTTTGTAGATGGAAGCCAGCTGTCTTAGGCTGCCCCATTCCACACAGGATTCACTTTGTTCCCTCCTTTCTTGGCAGCAACTGCAGGCCCCAACTCAGAGGAGACCATCCAGCAAAGTGCCCTGTCGGCCTATTCCTACAGTGCTCCGCCCGGCCTGTCTTCCCCACAGCAGCAGCAGGGCGTGAACAATGGGGGCGTGAAGGAGGAGCATTCAGTCATCGACATGGGGAATGCTAGCAACGAGACCATCACCATCAATGCAGGTTAGCAGCGTAGTTGTCCTCCCCTGCGACGGTGGGGGGATTACGAGTCAGTGGGACACAGCCCCTAAGAAGTGAGGACCCAGTGGCTACCTTCTGAGTGGGGTAGCAGTTGTGTGTGTCATGTCCCTTAGGCTGTTTCCATTCACTCCTGTATGGATCAGGAGCCCACTTAGAGGTCAAGATAACCCAGGGCCAAAGGATTCTGGATCAACCACAGCCAACAGGGCTGGGGAAGAACTGGTGTATGGATTGCCTAGCTGTGGTGGAAGGGGGGACAATAGGGCTAGGGGAGTGCCTGTACCCCCCCCCACCTCCTTTCCTGGTGCCAATGGCTCTCTGCTAAGCTCCTACACTCCCCATCTCCCCAGCAGCCTCTACACCACGGAAGGTCTACGACACCCGGGAGGGTGGGGGCGGCAGCAGGGCATCCGGCACCCAAATCGACTGTGATGAGGACAAGTACCGCCGGCGGCCAACGCTCAGTTGGTTCGCGCAGCTTCTGAAGTAAGTGGTCGGTGGTGGGGTGGGAGGAAACCAGTGCACATGCATGATAGGGCCGCAATCTCGGTTGGAGCCTGTAGGTATTACCATAATACTGCTAATGTGCCCCCAATCTTATTTGCGGTCTCTAGGCGCTACCATAATAGTGCTAATGATGCACATGCCCAGATGTGCCCCTGATCTTGCTTTGGGCCTCTGGGCACTGCTACTGTCATGCTAATAACAAGTCCCCCTGGCAGGAATCGCTCTGGGTCCAAGAAGCGGCAGCCAAGATCCCTGATGCAGCGGTTTGTCATCATCCTCCTGATTGGCGGCATCGGCTTCCTAACCCTGATCATCATCATGTCAAAGCTGGGCCGGGCCTCGGCCGACAATGACCCCAACCTGGACCCCATGTTCAACCCCCACATCCGGGTGGGCCAGGAATGAACTGAGCTGGTGGCTCCTCCCTGGGCACCAAGAATGGCCTGCCAAGGCAGGGATGCTGGGGACTGGCAGCTGCAAGTGGGGCTCTGGGGGGAGTACAAGGGGAAGCCCCCAGCCAGGACACTGCTGGGTCAGCTCAGCTGAGAGTCAAAACATGAAACTGATGAGGGGGGGTGTGAAGTGACTTTGGCCTCTTTTAAAAATGAGACTTAAATAAATCTCTAGGTGGGGTGGGCAGAGCAGGATTGGGAGGAAAGGGGAGGCTTGTACAGCTGTGGATTGGGGCCCCCGAGATGGGCTGGAATGAGCCCTCTGGTCGCAAAGTGCTCCAGCTGAGAATCCTTTCCACTGTAGCTGTTCAGCTTTGGAATGGGCCAGGCAAGAGGAAAGTGTCTGGTGATCGGGGAGGGCTTGTGCTGCTAGTGCGAGTGTGTCCAAGGACGGGCAAGTGAGAGGCAGCACAGGAATGGAAGCCTGGACTCCTGGGTTCCGTTGCCAGCCCACAAGGATTTATTGGTCCGAGCAGGGAGATGGGGAGCCAGGGTTCCTGAGTTCTGTTCCCACTGCTGCTGACCCTGTTGTTCAGTCTCAGGTGAGTCACTTCCCAGCCCCATGCCTCAGTTTCTCCACTCTGTAACTAGCAATGCTGCTGGTGGTGTGTGTGCAGGGAAATTGGGCATTTCCATTCCTGCCTGCAGAAAAGCTGGGTGGTAGCAGCACTGAAGGGCAAACGTCCCACACCTTGGAAGCGTGAACTCCATGGCATTACAGCCGTGCCCCCCTGAAACTGGTATCTGGCTCCTTAAACCCTGGGCTTGAATGCCCTTCCCCTAGGAGCCTCTCAACTGTCCATCACTTGGAACTTGCCAACCCAGTATGTCTCAGTGGGTGAGAACACAATTGTCTGAATGCAGGTGTTTGAAAGGGTTCAGGGCTCTTTTGTTCCCCTTTCCCATTCTCTAATCCTGGGCAGCCTCTGCTTCCTCAGAGGTGCCTTGTAAAACCCATCCCATATTTGATGGACCAATTCCTGTAGCCTCAAAACACTTCAGAGCTCTCTGATTCTAAGCCCATCTGCTACGTTAAGCCACCTTGTGCTTTATTGACCCTTGTCCCCAAAACCCCTTTGCCCCGAGGAGGGAGATGTAATTATTTTCCTGGTCTCAACTAGATGGGAGACAGCGGATCTGTTTGACACAGCCAGCTGCTGGGACTTTTGAGGGAGGCCTGTTCCAACAGAAACCTCCTTTCCTGCCTGGGGATGGGGCAGGATTGCAGCCCCACCCACAGACCACACATAAAACTGCCCTTCTGCTTTGCTGGGAATGGGAGTGGTACAGAATCTTCCATTATCCCTCTGCTCCCACACATCCTTTGGGGGTTCAAATGGAACGGACACTGGATCCCAACCCTCTCCCTGCCACACACACACACGTTTTAGTTTTGCAAATGCAGCTCAAACCAAATGACAGTAACCAGCCCCTTGTCGCATCCTCATTTGCCCTCCCTCCTACTGAGCTATATTGGGGGGGCGGGGGAGGTATAACTTACTATTCTAATTTTTAACATCAGTAACTACCTGGGCCTTAACTTTGCCAGAATTCGATGGGCAAATACTGAGATCCACCCCTCTATGTCCAGCATTATTTGCAGGGATGAGATATCGTTAACCCCCTCCTCCAACATCAGCTCCGTTGAGCAGAGCCTTCGCTTCCCATCTCAGAATACCAGGGGAAAGGGAAGGAGTTGGCTGGGCCTCTTGTGTGTGATTATTTTACTAACGAGAATGGAGTGGGGTTGGTGTCCCCCTGCATCCCATGGGGGCGGGTGGGAGGTGTAATTCCAAAGTTGGTCCCTCCATCTCTGTACAGAGCTGTCGCCATGGGTGCTTTGGGCTGTCCCCTACTGGAAAGGGGCGTACGTGTGTGTGAAGTATTGACCTGTTCTGGAGTTTAGGGAGGGGATGGGACATGCTGGTCAGCACTGGAGCTTAAAGATGGGGGGTGGGAGGGGAAGAGACTTCCTGGCTTGTGGATTTTCAGAGTTCTGGTGGGGATGGGGTTTCATGCTTTGAATACAGTTGTTTTCCTTCTATTTATTGAAATGGTTGATAGGAGACAGTTCTTCCTGTAGGGTTTGAAATGCATGGGGCGGCTGCAGTGACCAAAGAGAGCACACACCACGCCCCCTGCCCAAAAACTGACCATTGCCTCCAATCCCACTGCTTTCCTGTGTCCAGCTCTTTGACTGGGCCTTAGTCCAGATCTGCTGTTTTGCAACCTCCCAAGCTCCCACCCTTTTCTGCTTTGCTAGCCCTGGGGTAGGGGAGGTGACATGGGACTTAGGCTGGAAGGCAGTAGAGGAAAAATAGCACCTTCCTCACAAGCCACTGCCAGTGGAAAGGAGAGCTATGAACATAAGTCCTGTAGGCTTCCCCAATGGGTGGGAGCTATTTGTGGTGGGGGATGAAGGGGCTGGAATCTGAACCTCTTCCCCTCCCTTGTGTTGGTTCCACCATGAGCCAGAGGGTTGGATCGGGCCCATGTCCGTTAGCATGACCCTATGGTTAGGGTGTTGGGGTAGGGGTTGTGATGGGCCACTGCTATGGAACGGATGAGCCCTGTAGCCATCAAATGCTCCCACTGAGGGTTGGCCACCTGAGTTGTTGAATGCCCATTGGGCGTATTGGGGGAAAGATCCTGGCTGTAATGACTGCCTTGCTCCCACCTCCCAGGAAGGTGACATGACTAATGAATGACACCGTCTCTAACACTACAGCAATATCCTGTATTGTTATTAAACTTGATTTTGGCTACAGCCGGAGCAGTGTGTTACTGCCTCCTTCCCTCCCCGCTTCCCAAGTCCGACAGATCTGGGGATGAATGCTGCGTGTGCATCTCTCTCCAGGGCTGCTTTGGACAAGGCCAGGCTGGGGCTCAGTAAAACTCCTCCCTGTATTCGATAGTCAGGTAGTCCAGGCAGAAGCGGCCCACGAAGAGGGCGAAGTTCATCACTAGAAGGGATAGAGCCAGAGCCCTGGTCAAGGGGATGGGGATGGGAATGGGGTTCACAGTTTCCCTTTGCGACTGGACCAGAGGGGCAGCTAAACAGCTGGAGTGTCCAGAATAACTGAGTGTCCACACATTTGCCCTCACGCACACGGGTCCCCCGGCTGTGCCCCTGTGTGGTTCTGAGTCATGCTCAGAAATCTCCTGAGCTGGGGAGCCTAAATCCCAGCTGCCATACCCCATGCAAACTGGCTTTGGAAGGTGCTCCCACTGGAGCACACTTCTCAGCTAGAGTTGAGGATAGAACCCAGTAATCCTGACTCCTGCTCCTCCCCCCAAACCACTTAAACTGGTTAGACTCATCTGAGTTTCCCCTGTTGCCCTTGCTGTGAACACCCATCAGTTCAGGCATCTGGCTGGAGTTACTTACCCAGCGAGGTCAGGGCAAACCCCCTGAGAACCTTGTCGTTGGCCTCCAAAGTGTAAAATGTTCCAAGCAAGGCCCAGTAAAAGCTCATCACATGGGATACCTGCAGAGACCAATGCAAATGGTCAGGGAGATGGTCAGGACCCTTCCTTGATCTGTCACTCCCCGGTGCTAACCTGTTAGACCCCACTCCCCTCCTAAATGTCTTACTACTCCTGCCCAGAGATGAGAATAGAACCCAAGAGTCCTAATACTGCCCTCCTCACAGCCCTCATACTATAGGCATCCCTCAGTATTCAAATGTATAAGGGGTATAGAAATGGCCAACCTGGATTGAACCTAAGGTCTGACAGTGGCCAGAGCCCGTAGATCCCTGTCCCGTAGGGATGGGTTATCTCCACTTCAGAGATGAGGTGACTTGCCTGAGGTCACAGAGTCTGTGGCAGAGATTGGAGTAGAAAGCAGGTGTCCAAAGTACCTGACTAGTGCCTTAACCTCTAGGCCAAGCTGCAAGACACAAGGAGCAAGGGGACTCCCCTTACCAGTAGTACTGTGGTGCCATGAAAGCTCATGAGATCGAACTTCTGGGTCACAGTGAAGTGGTAGAGGTCTCCTCCGAAGATACCCATGTGAACCAGCAGCAGCAGGAGGGAGGCACTGGTGAAGATTACTTTACTGGGGAAAGTGACGGTGACAAAGGGGTCCTTCCAGCTCATACCTCCCCATCCCATGCTAGGTGTAGGGACCATCTGCTTGGTAACTTTGATGCTGACCATGGTGCTGGGAGGGGGTAATTAGCTCCAGGAGGCAGGCTGGAGGCTGTTTGTAGTGATGGCGTGACCTCACTGCAGGCTAGGAGTGGTTTGGAATCCTTGCTGAGGTCATAAAGAACTGAGAGTTCTAGAAGGGTTTGCAGAACATCCATAGGGGCTAGAGAAGGGATTGCAGAAGGTTGCGTGGAGGGACACTGGGAGAGGGGAAAAGAGGATACAGGATGGGGAATCATTATGAACTCTTACCCCAACTTGAGATATCACAGCAATAAACAAATTAGATTGTCCCCATGCATGATAGATTATAGATGGATAAATGAGCATGTATGGGAATATTAGATGGGGATGGGATGGATGGATGGATGGATGTCTGGACAGATTAGATGGTATGTGAGGGCACGGACTGGTAGATGGGTTGGATGCATTAGATGGGTGTGGAAAGGGATGGATGGATAGATTAGATGATGAGTGTGCCTGGGGATAGTTAGATTTATGGATGGATGCACAGATTAACTAGACTAACAGATTGTAATAATTGAGAAATTCTACGGTAACAGCATGATGTCATAAACCAGTTTGAAGGTGTCATGTGGTAAAATAAGGACCAGGATATGTCATAAAATCACGCCTGTGTGCTGACATCATAAAATAGTCTGGGAAATGCTGTGTAGATGTCTGATTAATTCATATGTGCATGGAACTGGATGTCATATGCTAACATGGTGACATCACAGCATGATAGGGCACTGCCACAGGCTCAGGGAACCACGCAGCGCCTGTGATGTCATTGGCTCATTACAAGATATCATTCAGTTGCAATGCCACCTTCAAAATGTCACCTTCTTATCGTGGTCACAGTTGCCCTCCCCCGGCCGCCAAAGGCTTATTGTAGAGCTAGAGGCTATTGTCTGCCAAGCAGCGCGTCGCTGCTTCCCACTGGCGACGCGTCGGTACAGGGGATCTTTGCTGAATCAAGAGAACGCTTCCGATTCCGGAAGTGACCTCACCGCCATTGGGGATGAATGTTCTCAACAAAACTTCACTGATCCCGGAAATGACCTCATCATCGT